ACTGGATGTGGGTGAATAAATGGAAAGTTATTCCAGAAAACATGGAGGTGCTTCTAGTCAATTGAAAGACAGAACAACGAATAGGGAGACAGCCTGTGCTGGACGGGGCTATACTTTCTCTGAAAACACAGGTACGCCCATTTGTTGAGTCAGTAGAGAAGATGCAAACCGCAGGGAAGTCAGAGAAGCTACTAATAGTACCTCAGCATGACTCTGTTCTATGCCTTATATCTACTTACCGGAAAGAGTCGGTCACCAAATTATCTCACAGATTTTGACAGTGAAAAGTAATGAGACTTGAGAGGTTCAGGCAAAGGAGACTAGGAGAATTGTGCGTTCCTTCTTTAAATCTGTATAGGTCCCATCCCATTCATTTTAGAGATGCTTTAAGAGTGTTAGTTTCTATTTTGCAGGACACAGATTGCTTTTTGATTTAACTTATAACATGACTTAGCTTAAAACACAAAGCTACAATCTATTACAACATATATTAATAATATATTAAAAAGAAAATGTTTTACTAGTGTGTTATCATGCCCTTGGCATTCTAATTGATATTTTCCTTTACACGTTCCTTTAATTATGGGATAATATGCAACACATCTTGTTTATATGGCTGAAGGTTTAATGTGATATGGATCTGAGAACAAATACAATCCTTAAATATCTGCCAGTTAATCTCTTTTGAAAGAAACAAGATAAGAAAAAATAGTTCTGCATGAGTACACATTAATTGTCTGCTTTAATTAATGGGCAAAATCCTTTGCCTAGCATAGTAAATCATACTATGAGTAGACCAATTGTTTTGATGACGATTTAAAGAATCAACCCCATAAATTTTGTTGAGTCTAATGAGCCTAATCTAACTACAGCTTATATTTGCATAGTAAGTCACAGTTAGTGTAGGCTCTTTTGAATTTATAGACATTGACTCACTAAATTCAGTGGGTTTAGTCTAGTGTAATGTACTATGCTAAGCAATAGAATTTTCGCCAGTATCTTACGTCTTCAGCCCTGTGCATTTCTTACACTAGAGGAATGAGATAGAGGGGCCCACAGAGCTGTAATTGGTAATGGACATTGAAATGGAGGAATTGTATTCATCTGGGTATCTGTAAAGCATATACAGTTAAATTCTCTTAATGACACCACATTCTTGCTGGATAGAGTGACACTATGGTACTGTAGTCATATAGCATGACCTCGGAGACTCATATTAAAATCTCACATTTGAACTGAATTTGTAGTCGTGTTCATTACAGTAGAACCCATTTACTACTATCTATGGGGAGGGGAAGGGCAAGAGGAGCGTGACCGTACTGCAGTGTACGTGTGCGAACTGCAGGGTGAGTCCACAGGTAACCGGCTCCGTGGATACAGGATCTTACTGTACTGTAAATTGTGTGGCAGAAATGGATAGGCTATACCCACGGTGGGAAGGAAGCTCCTCTATTTGCAGACCCCAAATCGATGCCACTGCATCTCCAATACATTTCATTTGGATGTACACCAGTAATCTTGAAATTGTATCTTATTTTGCTCACAAATTATCATCTTAAAAACATTTGCAACCTACCATAGGAAGCTGACCTCCAGTGTTCGAGTGGTTAAAGACTAAAGTCTCTTAATTCTGAAATTTTATATATATAATTACTTGCATGTGCATGTGACTTGCACATAGACTGCAAAATGGAACCAAAAAAATACAGTAATCACATTGGGGAAAAAAATAGGCAGAATCATTCATAGGAATATTGTGCATCAGGCAGATGTTAAGTTATGTGTGCAGCTGCAATCAAAAAAAAGCAGCTGTGCATTTGTGTTTCCACTGCAGAACATCCGTTACAACTTCTCCCATTTATTCCCCCACGTCCATGTAACAGACTGCCTTTGGTGTGGGTCTGGGTAAGTACGGGATACAGTGACTGGCAGTTGATTTTAGTCAATATTGAGGTGAAAAGGAAGCTGAATGCAGTTTGGTTTTTTGGATCAGAACTCTGTTTCTGTCTACACACCATGAGTTTTATTAGAAAGCACTGTTCCTTTATCTTGTGTTCTTCCTTTTTAATATTATTTTTGTCCCTTTATATCACACATTCTAATATTTCCCTTCTCAACCATTTTTCTTGTTATTCCAATGTGAATTAAAGTTGGTGTCATGCTTATTTGTTCCGATTTCACAACACCTGAGACCAAGGTAAAAATAGTGCTTTGAGAAAATGTGAGGGAAGGGGCATTGATGCAGTCCTCCTGTCTTAAGAAGCAGGAGAGAATTGACTGATCTCCCTCTATGAGCCTGCCTGCACTTTAAGAACATCAGGGGAGGCTTTTCTGTCAGTCCCGCCCCCCTCACAGGTGTGCTTGGTGAGGACATGGGAGAGGGTCCTTCTCTGTGGCTGCTCCCAGAGACTGTGGAACTCCCTCCCACTGGAGGCCAGGCTGGCCCCATCTTGGCTGTCCTTCCACAAGCAGGCAAAGATCTTTCTGTTCTGGCAGGCTTTCCCTTAACAATTGGTAGCCTGAGAGGGGTTTCTAAATGAATGATTGTCCTCTGTTGTTTTAAATGTGTTTTAGTATTGATTTTATTAATCTTTTAATGTAATACTTGTACAATTCTTTTTAAATATTTATATACCTACCCTTTTTAGCTTCTACATATTGTCTTTTTAATGATGTAAGCTGCCTTGGGTTCTTTTCAAGGAGAAATGAAAGATACAAATATTTTAAATAAATATACAGTGGTGCCTCGCACAGCGAGGGTTAATCCGTTCCGGATTAACCCTCGCTGTGTGAAAGCATCGCTCAACGAAACAAAAAAAACAAAACAAACCCATTGAAACGCATTAAACTTGGTTTAATCCATTCCAATGGGCCCCGAAACTCACCGTCGAGCGATGGTTCCCTATGGCCGGCAGCCATTTTTGTGTCCTCCCCTCGCTTTACGAGGGCGCGAAAACGCTGCGTGTGGCCATTTTGGGGCTTCCGGCGGCCATTTTGTAGCCGCCGAACAGCTGATCGGCGGGTCGCAAAGTGAAAGTTGGTAAGCGAACCACTTATCGACCTTCGCGCTGCAATTTGCGCCCTATGCAGGCACCGTTTTGCGATCGCATTTGCGATCGCAAAACCGGCCTCGTAGAGCGAATTCATCGCTCTACGAGGCGCCCGTTGTGCGAGGCACCACTGTATAAATAAATAGTTAAGGATAAGTGAAACTCAACTGCTGTTTTTGTTATCAGTATAGTTGAAGTACAGTATACAAAATACTGGCTCTAAAAAGAGAACATAATTCAGGAAATAGTGAAATGATGAAGTGAGAGGAAACATGCAGTAATTTAATTGGAGGAAAGTGCTATGATAGCATTTTGTGACAAGAACTGTAGAGTTTGTAAAAGTTACCCTGATTTAAATAAGCATGTTGATCTGATTAATATAATATGACTCTTTTGGCAAAGAAGCTTACAAGGATTTTAAATCAATATACTGACTTCCTAGGGAAATTACATCATTATAAAATTAATGTAATTGAACAGCAGTTGTAATTAGTAGATATTATGCTCACAGTGGGTTTCAGAAGTCAGTAAATATCTACCAATAAGTGTAGAAGAACTAGCTTTCACCGTAGTCTTGTTAAGCTGTGCTTTCTTATCAGTAAAAAATTTAAGTGTTTTGAAGAGGAAAAGCTTAATCAGGCCCAAGTATTTAATCATAACTCTTTTTTTTTTCTGTAGGTTATCTCTGCTTGCATGGCTTTCACTGGTTATTGATAGTCATTTATAAAACTACCAGGCTATTTGAAATGATTTGTACTTAATTGATAAAGCTGAAATAGACTTCTCTGTCAAAATGAAAAGAAAACTAAAACATACTATGAAATGAATTACATTTTAACTTACTTTTATTAATAACCATTCAAATTAGATTATTCCTGCCTGTGGTTTGCCTGGCCTTTCAAAAGATCTTCAGTCTCAACTTCAGAAATGTTGTCAAAGCAAGCAGTGAACTGCTTAATTTAAATGCTGCTGAAGGATATGAGGTTTTGAATTGTTATTTATAGGTGGTGGAACTTGTATGCAGCCTACAGTAAAGGCCAGCTCCCTACGAATTTCTTTCTGCGAAGCAAACGTTAGGACAGAGTGTTGGGAATCCCTTGATGAAGTGCGTCTGCAGATTCACTTGTTTCAGCCAGCCACTCTGCTCACTGGACAGTTTTCTCTGTTTCCTCCAACAGTTACACACGTTTACGTGGTTCTATCACAACTGGAACATGTCTATGAATCTTCCCAGTCACTCAGCCAGATGTTATGCAGATTGTATAGGAGAAGGACTTCCGAGAAGCACAAATCGTCATCCTAAATTTAGCTAATTTTTTAATATTTCTGTGAAAAATAGCAGCATCAACTTTAAAACTGTTCTATTCGAATGTGATTCTTTGGGGATAGCAGATACATGTGGGCTTATTTGCACTTGCTCATTTGAGTCTTACAGTTTGTAAAATGTAACTTTAGGCTAGAATGGGAAAGATGAGGCATATGCAAAGAGAGGTTTGTCAAGTGAAGTTTGCAGCTAATACTCAGAAGTGTGTGCTGAGGAATGCAAGTAGTCCTTCACCAGGGCAGCATTTTATGTACAGTATGTAGGGTGGGAAAGGGAAGACAGATGGCTTGGACTTTTGTCTTTTTCTGTGCTTGAGTAACAGCTGATATTACCAGTAGTGACATGTATGAGGTTCAGATCCACGGCTTGCTTGGACATCTTTATGCAGGGGCAGTGCAGTTTCTTTCTTTTGAACTGGCAGACGAAGCTTGCCAACACTCTCCTTCCGTCCCTTTCTGTTGGTGAAAATACGTATAACGATTTACAGAAGTGATTGCTTGCTGTTTCAGAATGCTTTACCCCAAACAGAAAAATGTTACTGGACCTAGCAGTGAATATGATCTTTTAATGAAGCACTATTTATACTGTTCTTAATGTGTGAAACATTCTCATTTGTTTTACTTCAGGTGAAAAATGACTATATGGTAGAAATAGCAGACCAGGTGGACCAGGAAATTGCCTTGAAGTTGGGTTGCCTTGAAATCCGGTAAAACAGCCATTTTAAATTTATTTTATTAAACTTTTATTCATAAAATGAATAATTCTTATTCTTCAAGTTGTGTTCAATATTAAATTACATTTTGTTGTTATTGAAAGGGATTGTTCTTAAGAGCCATTCTGCAAAAATTGCACAGTGGCTGAAATCCAGTGTTAAGTCACAACTAGAGTTGAATCAGTAGAATTTATAGGGGATTTGACTCACTAAATCCTCATTGATTCAACGGACCTATCCTAATTGCAGTTCACTACTGGATTTCAGCTTGAGTGTTTTACTAAAACATTAATGCTTTTGAAGCTTTGGCTTTAAAAAAATGTTATGCATAAATCATTTTTTACCTACAGCTGTATAGGTTAGGTCGCTGAGGAATAGCTGTGATTTTGAAGCAAAAAAATGTTTACTGTAAAATAATGTTGCACTGACTTATCTTGCAAATAATGACGAATGCATTACCAAACTGCCCCAAATCCTCTTGCATAGCCGTGCAGATGGCATCACTTTTGGAGGCAAATTGCCCAAAATTAAGAAGACAGGTACACTGTTCAGTATAGAATTGGTAATGTCTACAATGATTTCTTAACTTGGAGCAATTTGCATCTAGAAGTTCTGCTATTTTTGCTGTGCCAGCATAATTAGGTGGAAGGATTTGGGCTACTGCCCCCCTTCACCTATAGTTTATGTTTCGACAGGTCTTAATTACTTAGGTAACAGTGTGTAAAGACTAGGAAGATAGGATCCTGACTGATGGAAAAAGATGGGGCTTCAGGATCATGGTTGCCTTTCTCCTATTTTCCTGAGCCTGAAACTCAACTGGGGGGACGTTTTGTGTCCTAGAATTAAGCTACGGATTTTGGAGGCTGGCAGACAGCCACCTCACTGACAAGAATATAATAGTGTTTTCATTTGCTTGGCCCTTAATAAAGGTTTTAGATTGCCATGTCCATGAGTCTTGACATGGCTATTAGTTCTTTCACTCTTAACATCTTCATATGCTCATTATGAAAACATTTAATACTGCTTTAATTGAGGTTCCATTTGAGCCCCACCTGTTAGCATGTCTCACAAATGTTTGGGAAACTGGCTTCAGTGAAAAGAAAGCATAGAGGTTCTTTGGCCTTCCCCCTTCAAAGAGAACAGCTTGGGGGCATTTTTCTGTTTAGCTCTCATTTTATAGTCTGTTTCGCAAAACAGTTTTTAAAAGAATGTTAACAAGCTTGACCAAACTACAGAAAAGGACATTTTGGAACAAGGCATGTTTTCAGAGTTCTTTCAAATGTTTTAGTAGAGAAAAATGCTTCAAGTTGTGCTATTGTTTTGCACAGCAATGCTGAGAAAGTAACAATCAATAGACAATAAATGATAAATCAAGCAACAGAATAATAGAGGGAAAACCATGTTAAGGTTTAATTGGATCTACCACGTGATGCTGTTCTATGATAGGAATAATAACAGCAGCCAGATAGCAGTAGGATTGCGTGCTTTAAATAGGTTTACTGAGGGGGAAGGGAATCATAGTCACAAGCACAAAACATGGTGTAAAATGTGGAATTTGGCTTCCTGGAATTTCTGAAACCCTAGTAGTGCAGAAGTGTAATTAAAGGTAAAGAAGCCGAAAAACTGCACTGTGGCATGAATGTGATATCTAATGGCCAAAGCTTGGCTGAGCTTTGGCACCTTGACAGAGGAAGATGAGGCCTATCAGAGAAGTTGCAGGGTGAAGTTAATCCTTAGTTATTTACTTCAAAGGGAGACAGAAGCCTGACAGTTAGATTCACTGCAAGATGACTGGGTTAGTCTGCGGGATGCATCCTCAGGAGAGTGGAGCTACTGTAGCCTTTCCTAACCTGGAGTCCTCCAGATGTTTTGGACCGCAACTCACGGCATGCCTGCCCATTGGCCATATTGGTGGGAGCAGATTAGAGATGGCACACAGAATATCTGGAGGACGCTAAGTTTGGGAAGGTTGCTTTAGCATTTTCGTGTCCTTTCCACTGCAGGCAGTGTGTAGGCAAGTGCACAAACATCATTTAAATGCTTTAAAAGTATTAAAACAAACACAGTAAATAATAGAAGTAGAAACAACAATGACCACAGAACGCCAGATTTCAAGGACAGCAAATCCAATCAGGTTGCTTTTTGGCAAGTCTTCCTCTTCTTGAGCATTTTCTCGAGCATTTTCTCCTTTTGGCTGCTCAGGGCAGTGAAAACAGTATCACAGGGACTCTGGCACCCCATTGGGGACAGTATGTTTGGGTATGGTTTGGGTGTAGTGTTAGCATAGTTCTGAGATTCTTAATATTCTTGAACCTGGTAGATGAGAAGGATTTATTACATGCCTGCTTTAGTTGACATCAAGATTTAGGAGCATTAGGACTACTTGCTTCCTGCATGTTTAGTCAAACAACAGAGATCTTTTATTTGTTAAGTTACTGTGATCCGTCTGCTTGCACTGATAGCTTACTTTTGGGCTTGCCAAGGCAAGTAATCACGTATTTTCTTTGCTGATTTCAGGAGATCGTACTGGGAGATGAGAGGCAATGCGCTAGATAAGAAGTCAAACTATGAAGTATTAGAGTCTGTATATCATCTCAGCTGAAGCCCCGAGTTGCCCCTTGCTTAGACAGAAGAAGATAACTTTAATTAGAATCTACAGTTCTGCCACTCTTCACAGGAAGGCCACAATATGAAGTCTCTTACTATTGCTTTAATTGAGATAAAATGGGAAACCTTGAAGCCGAATACATTTCAGACCTTTCAATTTATTGAGCTCATCAGCTCCTGCTTAATCAAGACAAATTGGATTGTTCATAGTAGGAATCTGTTGATATGCAACATCATAGTTCTTTCAGTCACCCGCATTCCGTTAACACTTGCAGGATCGGCCAGTCTGGTTCTAAAGATTTAGGAGTGCTTTGTACAAAATGGATTTTGTGTTTATGATTACATTAATCAGTAGATAAATCACACTAGGAACTTTAATTACCTAGTAGCTCTTGGAAATATACTGTTCGTGGACAATATACTTTACCCTTTTCCTCTTGTACTGTACTACGTTATGATGCAGTTGGTGAAAATACAAATTGATCAGCAGGTATTCGAGAAGTAACTTGTCACTGAATGCCAAAACTTAGATTTAAACAAACTATAGGACAAATTTCATCAGAGCGCTTTACATTTCATCCCACCCCACCCCTCAAAAAAAGAAAAGAAAGACAATACTGCTATACAGTGGGGTCTCGACTTACAAACAGTTCGACTTACACACTTTTCGACTTACACACTTCTCCGTCCGCAAAATTCCATTTCGACTTGCGAATGGAGAATCGACGTACAACCCCCCGGGAGGCCTGGTCTACTGCCCGGGGAAAGCTTGGTAGACTGGGTCTCCCAGGGGAAGCGGTGGCGGGGACCTCCGAGATGCCTTCCAGGGCTTCTCCGCCGCCATGGGAGGCATTTTGGAGCCCCACCCCCACCCCCGATAGTGGCTCTGAAGACTTGTGTGGGTCAGGCATTCTGGCTTGCAAAGACTGGACTAAGGTGTGGCCTCCAGACTCGTGGCTTGCAAAGACTAGACTAAGGTGTGACTTCCAGACTCCTGTCTCTGTGTTAAATATGCATTAAAATTGGCTTTGTTGAAACAAAATTCAAAAGTGTTTTTAAAACTGTCCCCTTCCTCCCCCCTCCTTTCCTGACTTTTCTTGACCTAAGAAAAAAAGAAAACAATCCCCCTCCTAGTGGTAGAAGGTGGAATAGCAGCTTCCTATTAGTTTCCCATTAGTTTCTATGGACGGAAATGAGCAGATACGGATTAAATGGTTTTCAATGCATTCCTATGGGAAATGCAGATTCGACCTACAAACTTTTCGACTTACAAACTGCCTTCCAATACGGATTAAGTTTGTAAGTCGAGACCCCACTGTATTCTTGCTGCTAAAGCCTTGTGAAAAACAGACATGCTCAATAGGGTGTAATGTAAAATCACTGAACAATATTCAACTCACTGCATGGGGCTACTGAAACAACAAAATTTGAAAATGCATGTAGTGAAGATAGATAATGAGGGTCTCCTCAAAGCATACAGGTCTGTTGGTCTTTGTAACATATTTGGAATATGATTATAATTTCCCCAGGAAAGCCTCATTGTAGGATTTGTGCCACGGAGGATGGGGAAGAGGGGAATGGGAAGGAAGAATGTTTTAGAAATATATGAATCTATGTATTGATTAATATTTGATAATGCATTAATATTGTTAATATTGTCACTTTTTATTTTGCTGGTAAAAATTAATTTAAAATGTGTAGCGGAAAGTACAGAATTGCTTAGAGATGCTATGTAAATGGAAAAGTTACCAACATTGTTCAGTATTGTAGAGTTCAGCTTTCTGTGCTGTAACATTGTCATGTGATGTTTTCTTTACAAACTTGTTTTGAAATAGATAGTTCGCTTAGGCTGAATCCTCTTGGTGTAACTTAATGCCTGTGCCAAGATGATTTTATTAGCAAGAAGTGGTTTTCAGTAATTAAATACTTCATGCTTCTGTTTCTCTGCGTTTCTGGCTCTCATGTACGCCCTTTCATAGTATGGAAGCTGTAAGAACTATGGGATGGACGAAGGAAGTCTTTAATTACAGAAAAGTCTCCCTCTGTTAGTATTGTCATACAGTGGTGACAATTTTTGATTATTAAAGACTCCTTACCATCCAATATCTATCATGGCTTACACATGATAAAATAAATTACTGTATACAGGAGTTGGAAAAGCTTTGGGACAGAAATAGTAATTTGTTATTTACTAAAAATAGCCACCGTCAGATGACAATACCATCGGGGAAGGCTTGCTATAATTAAAAGCTTCCTCATGAGGATTTCAGCCTTTGTCAGGACACTGGGAGAGGCTGCAGTCATTACAAGAGAAGAGACCTAATGGGCATCAAAGGCAGATCCATCTAGTGTTCTGCTTCCTACAGTGGCCAATCAAATACATCTGAGTAGTCGCCGTGTTAACACTGATCTGCGTGCAAAAGTATATTGCTGTAAAATGTTCATGCTTATTCGTGGCAACCCTGTACTGTAATAATACTAATGTAACATTTTTGTAAATACATCTAAGATGTGTGATGCAGTCTCTGTTGGAATACTCTTGCATGTCATGTATTCTGTCGGATTTCTCTAATCCTAAATAGGAAGATGAACTGCATGCAGTTTGCATCTGAGGAAAAATACATCAAAGGGCTTAATATTTATGAAAGTTTTATTAGATTCTTTCCCAGTTCAGCGTCTCTGTGGGCACTCGAGTGCTTTTTGCTGCAAAAGAAAGTAGGCTGTTGGCTTTAATCTTATTTTTACATAAATTAGAGAAAGATGTCTTCAGCAGACTCTGCATTTTTTTGAAAAAGAGGCCTTCGGGTCCTTTGCAAACCACTCTGCTAAGTGGTATCCGATATGTACTGTATGGTGTTTTGGTTTAATACAACATATTGTGAGGAGCAGACTACTTAATCATTTTGCATAGCAAAGAATTTCCTTCACTTTAATTGAGACGTTGCTTTTAAGCCCAAGTACATGCTCAGTCCTGGATATTGCTGCTAGTGAAGCATGTGATGCCACTCTGGGAAAGCATGTACAGCCAGCTGGGAAAGTGGCTGCCAGAGGGGCTAGAATTATTGGGCTGACAAGTCAAACTAAAGAAGTCACATCCAACTGTCTCCAGCCCTGGGCCCAAGTGTTGATTTTTATAATGAAACAGGGCAAATGGAAAGAACAGAACACTTGTCAAACCTCCAGGAAGATTTAAATCAGACCATCCTAACAGGTTAGCCAGTTGGTCCAGAACAGACAGCCAAACAATAGGGAGCTTCCTGCACTAAAGACGGGGGGGGGTGGGAGGCACCTAGAATGCAGTAGCCTAATTTTATGCGGTGTAGATTTTAGTAGTCGCCGTTGCCCTCTAAATCAGGGGTGGGCAGCGGGTGACCCTCCAGAGACAGTTGGACTGCCCCTCAAATCCAAGGGGAGAGAGCTGATGCAGGTTGAAATCCTATTCTATCTCGAGGGCTACATGTTCCATTTCCCTGTTTTGAATCAACATTAGATGGCTTGGGTAGTGTATAGCCATTAAGATAACCATTTAGATAACTGCCTAATAAACATACGATTGCTCATATTAAGGGGTTAACTGGTTGGGCTAGTGAAGAAAACAGGGAATATTGACAAAGGAATGCTAGTTTTGTTCTTCTTACTATATGTTTCTTCGACTTCCAGTTTTTGTCATAGAGATACAGAGCGAAAGGGTTATAAATTTATTTTTAGAATGAAATGTGTCCTGAAGGATATGTAAGTTAGCACTGAAGTAGTTTTTTTGGGGGTGGGTCGAGTTTAAAAATTAACATAATTTCTCTAATGGCATATCAATTTATAACATTATAGGTAACTGAATAGTTTCTCATAGTGATGCTTTATTTTATATTTCAAAGGGACAGAACATTTGTCATGAACATAATTCATTTTGTTTAACTAATTTTAGGAAAGATGTTGGTTTAAAAAGATTTTTTCCGAAAAGCTTGCTGGATTCAGTAAAGGTAATCTTACATTCCACTCAGATGTTTTGAAATTTTTGGATGGCATGTCTTGATCATTTTGTGTTCTGCTTTGTGCACTGTACGCAGTGCTTTATTTCACATCATCCAAGTATATCACATTTTACAAAGGTTAAGATGATATACTTCTGATGGGGGGGGGGACACTCCAAATCTAGAAAGTAGTACAAATAGTATCTGACATTTTACCGTGTCATGCAAACAAGCAAGCAATAAATAAGTAAGTAAGTAAGTAAGTAAGTAAGTAAGTAAGTAAGTAAGTAAGTAAATAAGTAAGTAAGTAAGTAAGTAAGTAAGTAAATAAATAAATAAATAAATAAATAAATTTAGAATTGACATATTTTAAATATTCAGGTATCTATTTCATGCTTTAGGTGCTAGAATTAAACAAAGCATTTATAATTGTTCTTCTCATCATTATCATCATCTTAAAACTGCAGAACTGGAAGGGACCCAGTGGATCATTAAATCCAGCCCCTGTCAAGGATGGGAATCGAACTCTCAACCTCTACCTAAACCACTGGGCTATACAGCCGTTCCATATAATTGAATCTTATAACTAAAGAACTTTTTGTTTATAAATATGAATATTCAGTCATTTCTGCTAATGCATTTGGATAGTTGTCTGTAAAAACAGCTCTAACCCAGTTTGTAGTGATAATATCAAAAGAAACCAATTTTGGATCGGGGGGGAGTTTTACCCTTAGGAGTCGCCAAAAAAAATGTTGCATAGATAAATGTCAGTAATAACACTCATGTTCTGTATATATAAAACTAGAATTTCAGGTTAGCTTAGATTCAGTCCCTACAGCATCATGTTAAAGGCAGGGGGAGGCTGGAGGGCTGGAGACATTGGAGACCTGCATTGCAAAATATATCTGGGATAGGCAGATCAGTGGTATAACTTATTCTAAGCAAATTTATGTCTTCATTTGGTTTCCATGACCACAGATCACGAGCAACGAGGGATAAACATAAACAAATTATGGTGGAAGGTAGAAGTGGCTAAATTTCCTTAGCTGGATTATTAGAATGGTTTCCCGTATTAGCTGGTAAATAGAATTTTAGGGAATTTTAGTACAGACAGAGCAAGCTATGAGGTTGTTCATGATTTAAGGTCTTAACAGCCACATTGCAATTTGGATCCTTAAATTGCTGTTAGGTATTTGCTTAAAGAACATAATAGCAGTTTCAACTATATTGCCTACTGGTGAAAGAATGTCATCGTGGTAATGCCCCCATATGACTGAAACATGCTGAGGATAGCTTCTGTTAAAGATAAACAACAGTTTATTTAAGCTTCTGATTTCACTTGTTTGTGATATTTGAGTGTGCAAAGGTTTCTGTGCCTTTGCTGCTAAAATGCAGACTTTTTAAAAAAAAATCTGAATATATTACATACATAATAGAGGCCTTGCATCCCAGTATTTATTTTAGGAAATAAGATAAAAGTTGAGAACAATAGCAATTGTTTTAAAGTACATGATAATATTCAGAGTCCTTTAATATTATGGATTGGTTCATCTACATCAATACTTATTAATACAAGTAAAATGAATTTTCCCTACAATGAAGCATGTAAAGTTATATATTATTAATGCTTGACAACTCTGTCAGATTTAGGTTTGTGAATATTTATGCTTTTGCAGTATACAGACAAACAGTTACTGTACTTTGGTTGTGTTGATGGGTGTAATTAAGATTCATTCTTCCTGGCCAAATCTAACCATGATATCCATGAATATTTCATTACCCAGGCCAAAAACCTTCGAAAAATGATCCAGCAAACATTCCGCCAATTTGCCAACCTCAATAGAGAAGAATGTATTTTGAAATTCTTCGAGATCCTCTCGCCAGTGTACAGATTTGATAAAGAATGCTTCAAGTGTGCCCTTGGGGTAAGTAGGCTTCCTTCAGCTCCTAGAGCATATTATGAAAGTATCCGTCTGATTATTATTGCTTAGCTCAGCAGTTCATTGCCAGCTTTTAACAGGCAGAAGAAATTACAGCTGGCAGTCTTCCTGCATATAGTGTGTCTTTTTGATTAAATTCACATAAATCTTTTTTTCATTATGGGCAATACTTCTGATAGAGTTTTTTTCCAGATTAGATAACTGGTAACAAAAATTAAGAGTTCCGCCATATTAATAAACTCATAACTAATGAATTGTACCTTTTGATTTACATAAATCTGTATTTAAAATAAAATACTCTTCAAAAAACACTGGGCAATATCCTGTTCATGCAGGCATAATAGCATGCCTGTGTAAATGGTCTGAGTGTTACACCCAGCAACAAGGAATTGCACAGTTCGATTGGCAATTAGTTCTGTGTCATCAACATGGCCGTCCCGAGTAGACGCTGTCTAGAGGGGCAGGGTAAAAATCGAATAAATAAATAAAATAAATGGCCAATTGCACAATATGCTGGCAGAAGTAGCTCTTATCATAATGTTGAGTTATGCCCACATAGTTGACCTATGCCTTTACAGGCACCATTGTTAAAAAAAAGAAAAGAATTATTTCCATGAAGAATGCCACATGCTCAGTTGTGTCCCTAGCAATCTAGGTAGCTTTGAAAGATGGAGGGTGTCCAGTGCTGCTGCTCCATTTGTAGAGTGTGTTTAGGTATGTCCATTCATTCCTGTTTGGATTCGAGATCTGAGAATTCTCCATTCTAGGAGCTCCATCCGTCAGAGGAACACCTAAATTGTGCTCACCTAGAAAAATGCTGAGTTGTAAGGCTTCATGGCCTAGGATAGGCCAAGCTCTGGCCTAGCTTTATGTTAGAAAAGAAAGTTCCCCCCAGTGTTTGTTGGGACTAAGTTCAGTTCACCTACTGAAAAATAACTTCCTTTCTAGTAATGTCCAGAAATTGGGGATTTAAAATCATTTCTTGCCATACAGGGAAAACTTGCACATAAGTAGGTGGATAGGTGTCGTTTCAGGTGTTCAAAATAACATTTTTCATTTGTTTGAGTTTACTTTACAAATTGGATAGTGCTTATTTTCTTTATCTAATTTTAAAAACTGTTTATTTCCAAATGTTCATCGTTTCCATTGTACCATTGAATATAAAAGTCAAGCTGGATTATTTCGGTGGAGTTGGCTATTGGTCCAGAAGAAGGAATCAGCTACCTTACGGACAAAGGTTCTAATGTAAGTCTGACCATCCATCAACTGTTGCAGTGTGCTTTGGAGTATGGAGTGTAGTGAGGTGTGAATGAATTCCAAAGTGAGATTAATAAAAAATTGGGCCTTTAAGAAGAACTGAACACTAGCAGGGAACACAAATTACATCTGGCAGTAATAGTGTGGAAAGTGGAACAAGAATCTTTAAGAAATTAAAGTTACAGGTGAATCTTTTTGAAATTAAAGTTAGGTTGGAACTACAGGGGAACCCATAATAATGTGTACTTTTTTGCCTTGCTACTTAGATTTAAGGAAATTGAAATGATTGTTGTTATGTATCAACAAATGCAATTTCTGGTAATCCAGTGGATTAATAATCTCCCAAAGGTTCTGCATATAATTGTCCTGGCTCAGCTTTTGTAAACTAAATGTTATGGGTTTTCACTGCGGAATGTATGATGATTGCAGAAAGAAGTTAATCTCTTCATTATAGTGTCTTGTGCACGGTAGCCCTACAGATTTGTTACTGTCCCGTTTAGTGGGTGCGTTACTTATATTACTGACAGGGTGTCTAAATTTTTATTGATTGCTAAAACGTTGCAATCACCTTGAAAAAAGGATTCCTATACTCCAACTAGGAGTTTTATGTACATTCTACCTTTTATAATCTTGCTGGTCTGTGACCGTAATAAAGAACGATGATGATGATGATGATGATACGTGGTGCATTCCTTTCTTTTAAAATAACCATAGCTTTTTATGATCTATACAGTCAAAGGCTTTGATGTAGTCTATAAAGTACAAACTGATTTTCTTCAGGAATTCTTTCATATGCTTCAATAGTGGATACATTTTTGCTGTATGGTGTCTCATGAGACCAACTTTTCTGACTTCAGCCCAGTTATCTGGTTTATTTTGCTTCCTATGTGATGAAAGTCTTTCTTGTAATATGTTCAGCATTGTTGCTTCCATGAAAAATTAATGTGATGGTCCTAGACTTTGGCATTTCTTTTCTTGTGCATTGTGATGCATATTGAACATTTCCAGTCTGTGGTTCATTGTTTGGTTTTCCATATTTTTTGGCCTATTCTCATTAGGATTTTGATATAGTCTCTATAACCTCAAATAAAGTATATTGATGTCCCACCTATACTTATTTATTTCTTCCAATTACATTGAGAGCAGTTTTACTTCCTAAAATTACATTTTTTTTCATGAAGAGTTTGTTCTTTGAAGGAATCTGTAATGCTTTGATCTCTAGCTTCCTGTGGGAGGGAGTTCCAGAGTCTAGGAGCAACAACAGAGAAGGCTCTGTTCTGTGTCCCCACCAAAAGGACCTGTGAAGGTGGTGGGATCAAGAGGAAAGCCTCTACTAATGATCTTAACGCTTGAGCTGGCTCATAAAGGGAGATGTGATTTTACATGGACTTTGAATTATTCAGGAACATTATTGTTGGCTTTATTGCTGTAGTGTTCCATTTCAGATTTTGTTCTAATATTTGATATGATTAGTTGTTTGATCTGTATCACAATCTTCTCCTGGCCTTTTGTTTGCATCTGGTGATGTCCACAAGTCTAATTATTTGTTGGGTTACCTTAAATATGCATTTATTATAAAGAAATTGTTGGTTTCACTTAATTGAATGCATCACTATCTTTATTTCTTTCTGACAATTAGATCAAATTCTCTAATGATTTTTTTGGGTATTGATGTCACCTGTAGTTACCAGGACCTCCTGTTCTGGTGTGAAATCAGTTTTCATCTGGACATTTGCACAAAACTTTAAATGTCTTCTCCAGTTGCTGTAGTTCAAGTATAGATTTCAAGGGTGATTATACGTTGATAACATTTTCCAAGTGTCTGATATTATTCTTTCAGACTTTGCCTTAAAATATCTTAATTGTCTATGTTGTGTCTTGCCATATTATTAAAGCCAGACAATTTCTTCTGAGTTTATCTTTTCTAGAGTACAACAGTGTGTAATTCACTGATTAAAAATGTTCCACCATCACGACTGAAACTATCAGTTCTCTTATGTGGAAGTTGAGTAATGGCAACTGGACTTCTTTCTTACTAGGTTGAAACATTTCACTACTCATCCAAGTAGCTTCTTTAGTCAGAAGATACTTGATAGGAGACCCAGATATATCTTCCATATTGGTTTCGCTTCCTCTTGGTTTGAATAGGCTTGTTGGATGGACAAAGGACAGAGAGTGAGTCCTTTGTTCATCTAACAAGCCTATTCAGACCAGGAGGAAATGAAACCAATGTGCAGGATATATTTGGGGTCTCCTACCAATTCTCCTCAGACTGAAGAAGCTAATTAGATGAGTAGTGAAACATTTCAACTTAATAAGAAAGAAGTCCAGTTGCCACTACTTAATTTCCATATAATCTCACCTGGATGACTAAGAATCTTCACAGATACCAGTTCTCTTCTGCTGATGCAGCCATTAATACTGACAGGATGACCCAGCTAGGAGACCAGTCATGTAACAGAGCCTCACCTCCTTTTAGGGTTGCTCTGACCTTCCATGATGCACTCAAAGTGTTTCACCATGTCAAGGTGAGCATCCAGGAAGCAGGTGTCATGATTTACTTCAATAAACAAAAGGCAGAGTCCGATAAGTCAGTCCAAGGTCAGAAGCCAGAGAACCAGTCAGAACCAGCAGTAATAATGCTGGAGACAAGGAATCAGGAAGAGATGTCCAGGTTCTGTGCAAGGTTCAAGATAGGTCCAGGAAATACCAAGGCAAGTTGCAAGTAAAGACAACAATTGTTTCCTGCACTGATTGGGCACCTTCCCTAATATTGGAAGTCCATGTTTTTACATTGCTCTCAGACGAAGTCCTTAGTTAGGATCCTTCAGTAATTACACATTGGTCTCAGCTGAGCCCTTAACTGAAGCACTACAGTGGGGTGGAGGAACTGAAGTACTTAAAGCAGATGAAACTGTGCTGGTTGTTCATTATTCTTATTCCCAGATTGAGATGTTATGTCCGTTTTGTCTGGGCTCTTAGTCATTGGCTTCCATTGCTTAAGTGCTTTCTGTAGGCAAAGAAACTCCATTTATATTCTGTTTAGTAACCTTTTCTGGAAAAAGCATCATACTTTAAACCAGAGCTGAGATAAAAATGGAAGAATAGTGGGAGGAATGGGAACTTTTAGGCAGATACTGGTTTATTTGTCTTGTATGGTAAAGCCTCTGAGTCATAATGGGATATTTCATAGCACTTACTAATGCTTTCCCCTTCCTTTCTATTTTTTGCAGCCTACCCATTTGGCTGACTTCCATCAAGTGCAGACCATCCAGTATTCAACTAGTGAAGATAAGGACAGGAAAGGAGTGTTACAGATGAAAATTGCTGGAGCACCAGAGGCAAGTAGTTTACTTTTGAGTTTTCTGTTGAATCATCAGACAGTGAACTTTACATCTTTATGAATGTTTTGTGAACAAACATGGGTATGGTGGTCTGTCCTGGGTGGCATAAATGTTTAGGAAATGATTCAGACGTGTCTTTGATTGGACAGTGCTGTCCATCCCTGATACAGTGCTGCTCTTACAGGTTGGGTGGATCCAGAGTGGTATGAGTTATGTCTCCATTATTAGCTGGGATGGATCACACATTCATAGTTTTCCCATTGTTGTAGCTTTTGCAATAACTTCTACTGCTGTTTGCAATGAAAAGCTGTTTACTGCCTTCTGTGAGTGCTTACTCTTCTTTTTGGTTTTTTATTGCAATTGCTAGCTTTCAGAGTTTTGGAGTGTATTTGTCAATAGACAGAATAGATATTAATTAGTTAGTTTGGTCAGGCATGGTTAAGAACCATATGGACCATTACTGTCTCCTTACAAAGAGAAAAATTGAGAGAGCAAAACTATACTGCTGCATTCATGGGAATTGCTGTTAGAAAGCAATATCTCTCTCTGTGGTTATCCTTTGCTTGCTCATTAAATCTTCTATAGGGCCTGTTTCTTTTGGAGAATTTTAAGACCTAGGAACCAGCACATTTTAAATCTATGCACTTTTTTCTGCTTACTGTTTCGCCGTTTCATGTTCCTCTCTGTCTTAACAACTGAGCTGTTCTGCTAAATGTTTGTGTCTGCAAATAATACTTCTTTGTTTTGTGCCTTTGCCCCCCCCATCTCTCTCTGTAGCCTCTGACAGTGACAGCACCGTCCTTAACCATTGCAGAGAACATGGCTGACTTGATAGATGGCTATTGCAGACTGGTCAGTGGTTCAACACAATCTTTTATCATCAGACCCCAGAAAGGTAAGATGCTTCTTTTTGTTTGTCCACACCTGGTATTATATCTAGTCAGGTTTGTATCATACAGCTTGAGAAGAAGTGAGAAATAAGAAGCCAACAAGTGTAACCTTTCCCTGTTAATTAGGACAAAAATATATGGTTCATGTAAAGGAACATAATAATGAAAACAAGCATTTGACATGGCAATTCAAATAGCTACTGTCATATAGGTGATTCTTGAAACAATGTAACTGTAGTCTCATTACATAACTGTTCCTTGGTTGACAGTATGCCAAGTTACTAGCTAATATTCCCAAATGCTTACTCTTTTCCCTAGAAATCTTCTGTTTTGTTAGTATAAGGCATCCTAAAGGGAATCACACCTCTTCATGGGTTCACTCATGCTGCTTATCCAGTTACAATTTTTCTTATTAGATTTTCCCATTCTTTCTCCAAACTGTTCAGAGTTGCATACATGTTTTCCCATGACCTCTGATTTATTGCTGGATCATTCCTGTGAAGGTAGTGTAGGCTGAGACACACTGATTAGCCCAAAGTAAGCTATGCAGTTGAGCGCAGATTTGAATTTGGAAGATCCGCTGTTGAAGCTGAGCACTGGAACTGCTACAAGACTATCTTAGCTTATGAAGACTTTTAGATTTGACGGTTGTTATGGGTTTTTCGGGCTCTTTGGCCGTGTTCTGAAGGTTGTTCTTCCTAACGTTTCGCCAGTCTCTGTGGCCGGCATCTTCAGAGGACAGGAGTCGGAACTCTCTCTGGGTCCTTAAGTATAATAAGTTTCTAAATTTTGCATGGTAGCAAACTGTTCTCTCTATGCGTGCTGTGGGAAGGTGGTGTTGGCATTTGTCAGCTGACAGGGTTAGCTCTACAGATTCCCGGGCAATAAAACATGAAGAGGTACAGAAATGAGTGTGGTTGCTCTCTTCGGCCGTGCAGTGGTGAAACATAAATAGGATAGCTAATCCTAGGAGAAACAGCAGTTTTGGCAGTGTCAGAATCAGACATTGTTAAATGTAATCTCTTGGGAAAAACATTAAATGCCTTAATGAAAATCATTGCTGTGATATTGCTGAAAGAGTAGGGTCTTTTAATGGAAGGGTAATAAATGACACACACTGAACCAATGCTACAGTTTGTAATGACTAGCATCTGGAACATTTCTTCTGCAATTTAGCACTGAAGTTGACTCAGAAATTCAACTACAATTTAGAAAAACAAGTTGCTTTTTATGCTGGATTGATGCCATGCGTGTCAGCAAAACATACATCCTAGAGGCTTGTGGGGGCTCTGTGTGGTTGTCGTAGCATCAGTGTTAGCCTTGCATAGTTTGGGGCTGCTGTGTGGAAACTAAGTTGATGTGGGCGGGGGATATATACATGAATTTGACAAGTGAACAATTTGTTAGGCTGTCTGTAATGATAAGGCACAAGGAAATATAACACTTGATGATGCATATGAAATGCAGCCACTGGATGTTCTGGTTTAGACCAGGACTGTAAGATGGGGTGATCCTCACCTAAGTTTATTTTCTCCATGTAACTGTTGTTTTGCCTTATAACTATGCTTTTGGCCTATGTAGCATCTTAGCAAGTGCGACCAAACAACTACACTAATATTCTTCCAAAACTTCAGGAGATTCCATCAGGTTGTCCCACCACCATGTTAAGTTTCCTTGTTAGATGCTTAAATGCCCCATCTCACTATCACTGGTCTCCATTCCCAAAATATTTGCAATTCTCATGCTTGAATTCATATGAGTTTTGTATGTTTTGAGGAATTTGATATTGGACCCTGACATTTGAAAGTTTTATGTCGGTTATAGAGAAAAGTATACCATGAAATTTAAAATATAATGCAAAACATATTTATTTGGATGTGAACAATAATGCTAACAAGAAGAATGGTGTGGATTTTAGCACGTCCACATGTTGTTTTTGTTGGTTTAAGGACTGACTGATTTGGACTGGGAGTCAACAACAACAACAACTAGACATTTATGTTTATTTTGTCTTGAATGCATATCCATGATTACTGTATATCTTATGGACTGATGCAACTAAAATAAAATAAAAATTTTAAAATACTGGTCAAGTAGGAGACATTGTCAGATCCTGATTCCGATTAGATCTGCTAAATCAAATTATGTCAAAGAATTTAACTATGATTAGAAGCTTGCTCAAACCTTACGGGAATGTTCTGAAATATTTTACTGCTTTTTGTGTGTAGATGGCTTCTGTAGATTTTTGGTGAATTGCATGAGAAGTTAAAAGAAAAGTCAGGAATTGGCCTGCAGAGTGTTTTATGGAAAGTTATTGGGGAAACTGTAATATTGTATAACTTCATTTTACAACGTGAAAAAGTAATTAACTTCAGTTAGCAATTTCTTTATAAAGTATTTTATTCTATGCATATCTTTTAATTGAGAGTGACATTAATTTTGTGTTTCTGTCTTCATGCAGAAGGTGAAAGAGCATTACCATCCATACCAAAGTAAGTTCTATTATTTGGTGTTGGAAAGTTGAGTAAATCTTCAGCTTAGAAAAATATAATTTTAAACTATATTTTGGTTTATATAGCTGAAGACGCTAAGTGATATCAGAAAGCTATTATATTGTTGAACCCTTTCTTGCACCTTTAAACATAATGCATGTAATTACTTCTGTGGCATTATGCAAATGGTAGATGAAAACAAAGAACATTAAGCTTGCTATCCCATTGTGATCAAACTTCCACTGAGTTCAGATTAGATGTGTTGGGGACATGAATGTGAATCTGGTCCTAGAAGAAGGTTCATAGTTCAGTCTGCTTTTATTGTTAGTCCCACATAGAGAAAACGCATTCAGGACAGATACCTGCACTTTTGTATCTGCCTGTTTTCTACCATCCCAACAAAATGCACTTCTGATGCCTGCCATGAATACCTGCTTTGAAAATACATAACTTAGATGCTCTAAGAATAATATCATCCATATTTGAATAGTTCATAAAATGCTCTTGTTCAGGGCATTATACAAATTTAAATAAGTTAGACCTAATTGCTTGACAAAAGAACCAAACTTTTTTTCCAACCACCCAGCCCTGCCATTATCATGGTCGACCAGCCCCTCAACAGACTTGAGATGTCACCCAGGCTTCACAAACAGATTCTGGGGACAGTAGCCCAGCATTGTGCCATGCGGCCTGCTTTGCACTGCCTAAGTTGGCAGGCTAGCTCTCGATGCAGTCAGGGATGCCATAGGATCGTAAGTGTCAGAGAAAGATTAATCTGCCAGTCTGCTTGGCTGTGCCCATAGAGCAGGTGGATGACCTCATCTTGTTCTCCTCCTCCAGCAGCAAAATGTTTTGTGATAGAACTGTGTAGGTTCAACACCCTGGAAAGGCTTGCCAGTCGCGTAGGTTCTGTTACATACAGCACTGATGTTACCTGTCTGTCATGGGTTTGGAGGGAAAGTTCCATCCTATGGGGAGTGGAAGGCGGGACATCAGGAGGAGGGGCTGTACTGTATAAATATGTGATGCCTGGGTGGTGAAACACACACACACTAAGGGAGATGCTGTGAGAAGCTAAGCAGACGAAGCAGCAGCTGGGAAGAAGAAGCTGTTGTGGGAGTCTGTGTGTCAGACAGGGTACTACTGTGTGTCAGAGTACCAACCTGATAGGTTCAGGTGTCTGTTGGTTAGCCAGAACTGATAGGTTCAGGGTCTGGGCTTTAAGTTAAGGTTCTGGGTGAACCAAACTGTATGCTTGTATGAGTGAGAATAAGCCACGTTCCTTTATGTTATTCACCTGATTGTTTTAATTACCCTGTGTGTATTTAAATAAACCTTATTCTTTTTATTGTTTAAAAATCCATCCCTGGTCTGTGTGACTTATTATAGGGAATGGTTGGTGGCAGCTTAGTGTAACTGTGTGACACATCCCAGTAGGTCTGGGTTTGTCACAGGTTCAACACCCTGGAAAGGCTTGCCAGTAGAGAAAGGGATCACAGTTTGTTTGTTTGTTTGTTTGTTTGTTTGTTTGTTTGTTTGTTTGTTTATTTAAGACACTTAAATCCATTGACCCCTGAAAACAAAATTAAATTCCAAGAAAATGAAATGCCCTCCAAAAAGTAACATTTAATGTTTTAGTTGCAAGTGAATTTTAAGACGCAAAAAGAAATATAAAAAGGGCATAAAAACAAACTGCAATGCAGGAACTAAAAATTTCAAGACAAAAACTCTGAAACTAAATTAAGATTGGAGGAAAATATATATTCATG